ACCCCAACTTACGGATATCGAGTGTAGAAGGCTGTTGTGTAGCTTGTTGATAGATTATAACGTGCTCTTCAATATTCAGTTGGGGTCATTTGGTTTGGTTTCGCGACGCGTAAATAATTCCGTTTTGAATGTTGAGTGAAGTGTCTCTTTTTTGGCCACCCCTGTATATATAATTCGCTAAGTATGTCTGTGTGTGTGTGTGTGTGTGTGTGTAGGTCTGTGTGTGTGTGTGTTTGTCACGAAATTCGTAGCTCGGGTCACAGCAACGATAGCGCCATGGTTCTTACATATGTTATAGGGGGTGGGATGGGGACACAAGTGGTACGTGATAGGAACTGATAACGACTGATAATAGCTGATAAGAGGGGCTAGAAAGCGAGCATCGCCAATTTCGTTTTGTCGTTCATATTGGTACTAGAGCGTCTATACTTACAAGTGTTATGTGGGGTGGTCCCGGGACATTGGTGGTACATGAATGGAAGCGATAGCAACTGATAAGGGCTGATAAGGGCGTCAGAACGCAAAAGTCGTCGATTCCGTTACCCAGCTCGCGTTGACACCAGAGCGTCCATACTCGCAGGTGTCATGTGGGGTGGGACGGGGACATTGTTGGTAGGTGATGGAAAGTGGTTACAACTGATAAGGGCTGATAAGGGGCGTCAGAACGCAAAAGTCGTCGATTCCGTTACGCAGCTTGCGTTGACACTAGAGCGTCCATACTCGCAGGTGTCATGTGGGGTGGGACGGGGACATTGTGGTAGGTGATGGAAAGTGGTTACAACTGATAAGGGCTGATAAGGGGCGTCAGAACGCAAAAGTCGTCGATTCCGTTACAGCTTGCGTTGACACTAGAGCGTCCATACTCGCAGGTGTCATGTGGGGTGGGACGGGGACATTGTTGGTAGGTGATGGAAAGTGGTTACAACTGATAAGGGCTGATAAGGGGCGTCAGAACGCAAAAGTCGTCGATTCCGTTACGCAGCTTGCGTTGACACTAGAGCGTCCATACTCGCAGGTGTCATGTGGGGTGGGACGGGGACATTGTTGGTAGGTGATGGAAAGTGGTTACAACTGATAAGGGCTGATAAGGGGCGTCAGAACGCAAAAGTCGTCGATTCCGTTACGCAGCTTGCGTTGACACTAGAGCGTCCCTACTTACAAATTATATTTGTAGTGGTACGTGCACACTGTATCATTGTATGACCAGCCTACTTAATAGCAGTCTATTGCATGAATTCAATCAAGTCTTCAGCAAATGATAACTTTCGTTCCTATCAAGAAAGCCCAAACTCATTAAACCGCTAATCCTTTCGGGGTTCTAAATAATGGTGAATGTAAATAAATGATAAGCCTTAGCTCCTCACTTATGTAAACAGGCATATTTCATTTTCATTTTGAGACTGACAGCAATCCTATTCACCGCTAAATTATCTGAATTCAAGAAGAATGCTGGATGTTTACAGTTGTGAGAGAAATACCAGTTCAGCTCCAGACGTTATCACGCGTATTCTCGATGGACTTCAGCGAAACTGGGAAAGGTCTAACACATTCAATAGTGAGGTGGTTAATGGAGGGCCTCATTCACTAAAGCCTGCCGTGTGATGCGCGCGATAGCGGGCGGAGCAAAACTGGTTTAATATAATTGTAATTATCATAAGTCTAAAGAAGCTGCTAGAGCAGCGAAAGCTCACCCGTGACGAAAGGGCCCTTACAACAATCCAACGGCACAGCCACAATATGTAGGTCAAACGTTGCAGTTTCGTTTTAGCATTTTTCTTTTCGTCCCATTTAGTAGAAGGCCTAATGGCCTGGTTTGTTCAGACTGTGTTCTTAATGAAAAACTCTTCAAGGCCCAACTATTAAGCACTGTGCCATGGATCTTTCATGGGGCTAGAAACATCACCTTTTTCTCAATGGTGCCAATATTGGGTAGATCCTACTTATCATATTCTCTACCATTCTCCTTGTAAACTGAAGATACCGTTGCGAAAATATTGAGTTGATGCGTGTAGTTGATAATTATTGCGGCTTTTTTTCGCGCCCCCTTTTTGCTAAAAGGTTGGCGTTCGTCTATCATTTTTTCATGAAGATACTCTTCTCTCATTCATCAATAGAAATGCTTATCGAAAACCATATACATATTCACCACATATGTTCTGCCACTCCGAGAAAGGTTGGTAGGCGGCAAAAGTGCTTCGCGATCATCACGAACTTTCGTGAGGAACAAACCAGGAAATGGTTCAAGGTTCAAAGATGCCATAATTACCGACCGAAGCTCCTACAGACTACCACCAACCATTCTTTGAAAAACTGGCAAACGAACAAAATTTACGACGAGATTGATGATGGGTGGCCGATACGAGAAAGCGGGTCGCCTCACAAGAATCATGACTTCTTCAGCCGTGGAAATCGGCCGGAATGTCTAAGCAAATGGAGAGGCATGTCCTGGAGATGCGTCAGTGCTCCGAGTAATGATCGTTCAAACATGTTTTTGTTAAATAGTTTTATCGTTCCTGCTGAATGAAATATTTTGAAAAAATCCGCAATAATTACGCATCAACCCAATACAATTTTAGTTTCGAAAAAATCTATTCTTATTTTTTTTTCCATTTTAACCCAGGATATATCCTAGAGCTGAGCTGCCTAGCTTGAGAAGCAGCTCGAACGTTGCACACTGCCTTTTGGTACTCAACTAATAAATCTGATTATATTTCCAAGGAGTATCGGAATTCAGAATCAAAAATATACAGCGTTCACCGCTGTTTCTGGTCGAATAACTGCCAAAAAGAACGAGCATCATATCAAATAAGAGTTACCCACAAACTGATAATTTATCAGATGTGTTAGAGAGTCAATGCGCTGAATTCTCTTACGATCAGTGTTGTGGAGTTTACAAACTATTGACACGCCGTTTCCGAAAATAATCGAACTTCCCAGCTGCAATTTCCAAAATTGGGATCACAAAAATTACGCGTCGCGTTTGTCAGGCTGCTCTCAGTTTGCGGTCGCGCGGTCCGTACGGACCGCACACTATGAAAGCAGCCTTAGCTGATTTCGCATACACTCTACGAGCTTGAAGCAGTCTCGTTTTCGCTGACCGCGCCGTTTGAGATTGAAAAAAGTCTCTCAACTGATAACTGCCACTATATTTCACAGGTGGTTAGCTGTTAGGGGCAAGATCGGGGAATGTCGTATGGAGGCTATCTTGAACGTAGAATTTGTTGATTGAGGGCCGTACTCAAATGTCTCGATTGACACCAAAACGCTTGAAAGCCCAAAACGCTTGAAAGCCAGCATAATCCTCAATCCAATGAATAATCCTCCTTTTCCAATTCCTTACACTTTGATTCGAAGCTTCGGGCGAAGACCTTGAAATCAACTAATGGGAGCTAGCCTCCCTTGCTAGGATCAGTCAAAAAATCAAACCTTTGGTTGCCCGAAAGTAGTCTACGTTACGGATGTGTACTCAGATGTCTTCAGATTTATGAATGAAATGAAGTGCGCGGCACATTAAGAACAGTTAATCTCTACAAAGCACTTTATTTTTCAAGGAGATTTACTTGTCTGATGATCTTGTTTACTACATCGCATCCTCATGATCTGAAAAAATTCAACGATGAAACTATTGAAACAGTTGCCGTGGTTACAGGAAATCGATCAAGACACTAAAGGCAAACCTCTCCATCGACTTAGTAACATTACTGGGCATGCTTGTCGCAGGTACTTTACAGCCTGTCAACATATCGATGAAAAACTTCACATTGGATTCTTCATAGTAGATCCTACCCTGACAGCATACGATGTTCCATCGTCCTGTAAAGGTGATGTGGTTATACCCAGCGCTCAACTTCTCTCATTATTTCCTTTATTGCAAGTATCAACACAGAGGAGGAATTCTGCGTGAGGACACAGACAAAGCGACAGAGTGCCATAATAATTGAACTCGGTTCATTGATGCAATTGCACACCTAGTGTCACACGAGACACTGGATTCGATGCTACCTGTGGTTCTTTTGCTACTTATGCTATTAATTTGATGCTACTTACCACGAGTCAACATGTGTTGTGGAACATCTTAAAGGCACGCTCCACGATTAGGCGCGCTCGCCTGTTCCATCCCGGGGTAGTAGGCAGGCGGACAAGCGTTGATGTCGCGCCCCTTTTGCCGCTTGAAAGTGCGCGACAAAGGCGCAAGGAGCTCGTCCAACCCGCAACTCACACCTTCGTCCGCAAGCCCCACCCTCCGCTGTCGGTTGCCACGTGGCGCTGCTTGAAAAGCGCGGGCGCATTTGAGGCAGCGGTCCCAGCGCCCAATGTTATTGGCACTGGAGCAACTAGAGTTAGGTTCGTGAAACTCGTCCAACGCGCCCCTTCTCTATCCCAAGGTGGAATGCGGCTGAAATAGGGGAGGTCTCTGTGCGGGGCGTAATCGGTGGTTTCGTTTGCTTTCCTTCTCTTTTACAGACCACCTCCCACCTCTAGCTTCATAACTGAACGCTTTTCCACACCTATTTTATCCCGAATCTTGCCTTCAAGGCGGAGTTTGTAATGAGGAGGCAGACATTAGAAAACAAGGCAGAGGAGGTGGCCATGCCATGATGGGTTGAAGATAAAGACATGAGAAACGGCCCAGCCCGAAAATTGGGACATTAGTGAGATTTCACATTGATGCGACTCTTGCCGGTGCTGCTACTATTCGCTTGTGACCTCTCTGTTGTTCACGCTAACGCCATCTTTGCAAAACGACTAGAGTCAGACGGCGAGAGCGTGGGCGCGTCGTAGCCCGATTTCATCGTGGAACCCTATCTTAAGCGATTCGCAAAAAACGAGTTATTTGCAACTTGTGAGATACTCTTTGGAACTCTTACAATCTTTACAAATGTTTGCATATTGTACACACTATATGCAACGCACCGAATACGAATGAATGGCCATGGGATAAGAAAATGTGTTTGAAGTTAGATCGAGGATCGTGTAGTCTACGTATAAATCTCTCGTGGTCTGCAAAGTGTGACTATCAAACCATACTATCAACTTTTCTGAAAAAATTACGATCTTCAATAACGCACAAATGGGCATCCAAACAATTGCGTGAAAATTTCTACAAGTTCCTCCGTAAGAAGTTTGTACTTCAGCTGTGTGATGCGATAACATTCTCCCGATACAGAAGACGCTGCGCATAACAGAATGACCGAAGCGATCAGGTGCATCCTTGATGGAAGCTGGCGTGGAGTCGAGTGTAGAGACAATCGGTGCAGGCCGTGATGCCACTTTTACTCTTCGCCTTTTATGTCCATCACTATCCACTATTGATCAAAATCGTGCACTTCATTACCATTGCAGCTTTTGTATAGTAAATGGTAAACACATAGGGCACATTTACAAGGTTTCGTGTTGTGGACATCACGAATCGTCATGGTGGAGCTACTTCAAGGATTGATTAGTTTATAGTTGACTTTAGAGCTCCAAAAGGTGATAAGTGACGCTCGGGAGAATGTGCTAATTTCCATAGGATGGAGTTCAGGAAATGCCTGGAGGTGCTTCTTTTGCCTTCATCCTAAACAGCGATGTACATAGTAAATTACCAGCTTTGATTCCTTGCTCGCTGGGGTGAATACGAGCACTTTAGTGGGGAACGGTTCATGCCTCCATGATGATCTTGAGCGATCATCAATTCAAAATGTTTATTTCTCACCAATTCCTTATGCCTCCACCAGAATTTCCACTATCATGTATGAACCTAGATAGGTTGAAGGACTGAATTCTTGGTTGGCTCAAAACTGAAGATCAGAAAGAGCCCATTTGTCGGGTGGTTGAGTTCGCATTCATTGAGCTGTTTAGGAAATCTCATCTGTTTTCTGAGGTCGAACAAAGGATGTCAGCAAGGTCTGATTGGTTTGTTCTATGATACACCCTCCGTCCTAGTGAAGTTTTACTTTTTGGAAAATTGAAAATTTCGCAACATAATTTTTAAGGCGCTCAATACCTGCAGCTGACACTAATTCAGGTTCTATCTGTAGTCACCCAAAAAATTTAATTGTTGATGTTTAGCGAGTTTTTTCAAAACTAAAACAATTTCTTTCAAAACTGAAACAAATGAACATCCGAAGGCGCAAATCTGGTTCGTTCATACGATGAGTGCTGTAAGGCATGCCAAAGAGCTCAAAGCTCTCTGAGCGTCGAAAATATTGGGAAGCCTCTGGATACCAAGACAAGTGATAAGTCCAAGCGACTTTGAATGATTAGTCAGTGGGCTAGGACTTCATACCGTGAGTCTTTCAACTGTTACCTGTGACTTCTGACTTACTCCTTGATTTGGCCTACGAGAGTGTTGCCAACCTTCGGTGTGAAATTATTCCAACAGAACTTTACAAACAGTTGCGCATTGCTTAGTTTAGCTATAGCTGCCTCCTCGAACAACTCACAAGTTGACTGCATTCTTATGTTTCTGATAGTAAAAAGCATGAGATAACAAAAACGCACTTGTTTTTCTAGCACTTTCGCACCATTCCTAGATAAAAACAACCTGAAAAAATTCAAAATACCTAGAATTACGGACGAGTAGGGAACATTTGCGTGTTCCTCTCACCACCAAACCGATAACGCCTTGTGCGAATGATACGAACGTGTTGATGAAATAGTTATTGAGTCTAACAAACATGGGTGCCCCCCAAGAGACCCGTCGCGGCGAAGGAAGAGACGCAGATGCGGCAAAGGACGAGTCGCAGCGCGTGCTGTCCGATATGAGACGTAGTATGGTACACACTATTTAACCCTGACGCCTAACCGCTACAGTATGCGCTGCGACTCGTCCTTCCGCGTCTGCGTCTCCCCTTCGCCGCGCGAGGGCCTCTTGAGGTACACCCATAAAATATTGTTTGTGATCACATCGTCGTTGGCACATGTATTTGCAGCATGCAGTTATACGAACTTTCTATAAGAATTAATAACCAATATATCCTACTATATATAAGCGGCTAGCGTGTGTCTGTTGTGTGTGTGTGTGTATGTTTGAACGGAAATTCATAGCTCGAGTCACAGTAACGATAGCGCAGTGGTTCTTACATATGTTATGGGGGGATGGACACAAGTGGTACGTGATAGGAACTGATAACGACTGATAATAGCTGATAAGAGGGGCTAGAAAGCGAGCATCGCCAATTTCGTTTTGCCGTTCATATTGGTAAAGAGCGTCTATACTTACAAGTCTTATGTGGGGCGGTCCCCGGACATTGGTGGTACATGATTGGAAGCGATAGCAACTGATAATGGCTGATAAGATGCGCTAGAACGCAAAAGTCGTCGATTCCGTTGCCTGGCTCGCGTTGACACCAGAGCAACCATACTTACAAGTGTTATGTGGGGTGGGACGGGGACATTGGTGGGTGCCAGAAACTGATAACGATTGATAAGGGCCGATAAGGCGCGCCAGAACGCTGAAGTCGTCGATTCCGTTGCCTGGCTCGCCTTGACACCAGAGCAACCATACTTACAAGTGTTATGTGGGGTGGACGGGGACATTGTTGGTGGGTGCCAGAAACTGATAACGATTGATAAGGGCCGATAAGGCGCGCCAGAACGCTGAAGTCGTCGATTCCGTTGCCTGGCTCGCGTTGACACCAGAGCAACCATACTTACAAGTGTTATGTGGGGTGGGACGGGGACATTGTTGGTGGGTGCCAGAAACTGATAACGATTGATAAGGGCCGATAAGGCGCGCCAGAACGCTGAAGTCGTCGATTCCGTTGCCTGGCTCGCCTTGACACCAGAGCAACCATACTTACAAGTGTTATGTGGGGTGGGACGGGGACATTGTTGGTGGGTGCCAGAAACTGATAACGATTGATAAGGGCCGATAAGGCGCGTCAGAACGCAAAAGTCGTTAGTTCCGTTACGCAGCGTTGACACTAGAGCGTTCCTACTTACAAATTGTAGTAAGTCGTAGTAGTACAAACAAAGGTACGTGCACATTATTTCGATATATATGTCCAGCTTACTTAATAGAATTCGACTGCATAAATTTTAAAAAACAAGTCTTCAGCGAATGATAAGTTTCATTTCTGACTATTAAAAACCCAAATCTCATTAACCGCTAATCCTTTCGTGGTTCTAAATAATGATGAATGTAAATGAATGATAAGCATTAGCTCCTCACTTATGTAAATAGGCATATTTCGTTTTGATTTTGAGACTGACAGCAATCCTATTCACCGCTAAATTATCTTAATTCAAGAAAAATGCTGGATGTTTACAGTTGTGAGGTAGTAATAAGGGAAAGGGGCCGACTTGCCAGTTCAGCTCAGACGTTATCACGCGTATTCTCGATGAGCTTCAGTGAAACTGTGGAGGGTCTAACACAGTCAATAGTGAGATGGTTAATGGAGTATCTCATGCTGATATTCCATGGGTCCTCCAATTTCGCTAAAGCCTGCCGTGTGATGCGCGCGATAGCGGGCGAAGCAAAACTGGTATACGTAATATATGAATAAACTT